GTTGCTTTGATAACCTTTCTGTGTTTGTGCTTTTGTTTCTGGACTGTTGACTCAAGTCACAGTGAGTAATTCTGTGAGAGCACAGGAATGAGTTGGAGGGGGCAATTCCAGCATCTCATCTGGAGGGTTATTTTTGAAGACCATAAAGGCTTTCGCTAATTCACTTCTACAGCGAGATGTACTTTTTTCTTTTAAATGCAGCTAAAAGAGAGCTTGAAAATCTGTATGTAAAGCTTTACATTTTGTTCCCTCATCTCAACTTACAACCAAACATCCAAGGGAATTTCTTACAAACTTTCTACATTCCCTTTCAAAGTAAGGCTGCTTGGGTCCTAGTCCAAGTAATCGCAAAAAATGATTTTAGGTGTAAATTGGTAACCGCAGCAGTTACACCCCATTCCAAAAGGAACAAGGTGAATTGAAAATTCTGGCCGATTCCCAGTCTGACTCAATGACAACGCATCATAAATGTCATAAAACCATGGCTTGTTTAGATGGAACTTTGTGTGTATATGGCATGTGTTCTTGCAATGATGTTTCTTGGAATATCCAAAAATACTGTACATAGAAATAGAAATGTTCTTTGAAAAAAAGTCTCTCAGCTGACTGATCAATTTAGCAGATGTGTGTGCCCGCTGTACCAGCCTCTGCTCTGCAGTTCCTCCACTCTGGTGGTCCCTACACGGGCCAACTCTCATCTAGGGGCACTTGGGACCTCTACTGGCTTTAGTAGCAAACCGTGTTTTACATTGAGGTTAGGCTTCATTTGTTACTTGCTTATTTTCCCAGTAAAAATAGCATTTCGATTAGATCCACCCCCCCTACATCGAGATAATTGTTTTTAAAAATGAAATTATGCAGAAATGGCCAATATCTCTTATCGATCTATTCTTTTGGAAACTGTCATGCACTATAAATTGTGTACAGTGTGTGGGGGGGACTATATATATAGATATATATCTATATATATATTCTTACATGAGTGAAAAAAGCACCCTCTCCAGCAATCGTAATTCATCGATATTTGAAGAGAATTCCCAGACCCATTGCTGCTGCTCCTATTCTGGTCTGTGTGGGTTTTTTGGTTTTGTTTCTGTGTGAAAATTAGTATTTAAAAAAAAAGAAAAAAAACTGACTACTGTTTACAGACTGAAAAATTACTGCTTTTTATACTACTGAGATCCTAAGTTAATATCTCCAAAGCAAACTTAGTTTAAATCATTTATCGGATGTGGGTAAAAGGTAGAGAAATTTTTAGTGTTCTCCACGTAATGGAAAATGTACAGATGCCTAGCTGTGTTCCCATCAATTTTGTATATTTTCATAATTTTAATTGTTCAAAATTGCATTATATTTTGCAATCACTATGTTCAATTTGGATGTCTTTCATTTTAACTTTGAATATAAAAGGGGTTTCAATGTATCTATGGCCTTTTTATTGAAACTCTTCCTACTTACATGGGAAGTATTCAGTATTTCTTCAGAATTAAGTGAAGCTTATCAAACATTTTAGGTGGCACTTCTGCCTAGTTCTTGTTGGGGGAAGTGGGGGTTTGGGCCACACCTGGCAATGCTCAGGGTTTGCTTATTTGGCTTTGCACTCTGGGTTCACTCCTGGTGGTGATTGAGGACTATAGGGGCACTGGGCATCTAACCCAAGTCAGCTATGTGGCAAGCAAGGGCCCTACCCATTGTACTTTCTGGCCCCCGGGTCTCGTTTACTTTTGTTTCAATTCCTGTAAATTACATCTTTTAAAATGTGTTAGTAATCTCAAATTAGTGTTACTTCTTTTGGGGACACACCTAGCAGTGCTGGAGATTGGACCTGGGACGCTCCATCTCTTGGCCACTGGGCTGTCTCTGGCCTTAATCCCACTACCAAACAAAGTCATATTTGTGGGTTTTAAATTTTTATTCTAAGGCAGTTTTTTAAATATTTTTTTGGGGGGGGGTTTGGGACAGTCGCTTGGCGCTTGCTCCTGGCAGGCTCAGACGCCAGGGATCAAGCATAGGTTGGCTGATTGCCAGGCCAATGTCCTACCTGCTCAACTCTCCAGCACTATCAGGTTTTTGTGTAGTGCCTTGCAGGGTTGGTTACTGTAAACCCCAGACACGGTTCACTCAGCATCACATGCCTCTCCTCTGGCAATACCATGTCTAGCTCCAGGTGTCCTGGCATACTAGCAGGGTTGGCATGGATTGCACGGTCCTTGGCACCACAGGGCCCCAAGCAGCACTCACTCCTTGGACCTTCCCATCAACCAAGCGTCCAGATTAGCTAAGAATTGCCAGGATTGGCCCGAGGCCCCTGAATACCACTTGAGAGTATCTTCCCCCATCCCTTTCCCCAAGTAGTGCCTTGCACGCTGGGCATTAATTCCACATATACGTAGTAGTGCTTATGTGCCAGATTATATTTTAGATTCTGTTCATACACACAAATGAGACCATTTAGGGTTATAAATGAGACCACTAAATCCCAAAATACTACTGCCCTTTTAGCATTTTGGGGTGGTGTCATTTACTATTGTAAACTTTTGCGGGATGGGGGACACACCTAGTGGTGCTCTGGTTTGAACCTGGGACTTCCACATGCAGAGCCCCAAGGGCCCCAAAATTACTCGTGGGCACCATGTGGAGTGACTTGTCGTTTTCATAGAACATGATTCTTGTTTGCTTTTGGGGGGATCTGGGGTCCTCCCCAGTGGTGCTCAGAAGTCTAGGGCCACTTGTGGTACTTGGCCTGAGGATGTGATGCAGCTCAGGCTGTGCAGTGCCAGGGATTGGACTCGGGTGGGCTGTGTGCAGGGCACACGCCCTAACCCCTTCCCATCCCCAGTGTACTTCCTATTGATCCAGGATCTCCCTTGCTGCAGGTAATAAAAAATTCCCTTAAATTATGCGTAATGGATTCTGGGGTCAATCCAGTCCCATCCCTGGCAGCACATATGGTCCCAAGCACTACTAGGAGTAATCTCTGAGCACAAGTCAGAAATCAGCTGATCACTGCTGGGTGTAGCCTCAAGTACAGCAGGCCTTGCACACGGCCGACCCGGGTTCAGTCCCCAGCGTCCCATATGGTCCCCCCAAACACCGCCAGGAGTAATTCCTGAGTGCAGAGCTAGGAGTAACCTCTAAGCATCACCAGGTGCAACCCAACCCCCCCCCCCCAAATGGGGGATCTATTTGGCAGTCAAGGAAGATTGTTATGTGGCATTGCTTCAGTTAGCTTAATCAGTGGCTAAATAGCAGTATTCCTACATTAAAAATAACATGGCATCAACTAATCACTTCAGACTCTAGACAAGACCCATCTTCAATGGAAAATATTTGGTAAAAGAGCTTCATTTAAACACTCGAAGCTTGTGATTCTCAGCACATCCATCCGAGAACCCACAGATACCACCATCTCATTGTCTGACAGGAGCCTTATTTGCCTTTAGTCCTACTCGCCAGGTATCTAATTTTTTTGTTTTGTTTTTGGGCTACAGCCAGCAATGCTCTGCACTCAGGAACTACTCCTGGTGGAGCTTGGGGAACCATATGGGAAGCCAGTGACTGAACCTGGGCCAGCTGTTTGCAAGGCAAATGCCCTCCCCGTTATACTATCACTACGGCCCCTGTCTTAATTTTCTTAAGATGGCAAATACATTTTCTTCGGAAGTAACTGTTTTAGATGAGAAAAGAACTTTAAAGCAAAGCACTCAAGAGATTGTGCCCACATTTTTGAAATGATGGTAAGGGGGAATACTTTTCCCTTCCAGTCCTGGAGTTGAACCCGAGACCTCACACATGAAAGCAAAGGTAGAAACAAGTATGTAGAGTCCCATGTTGGCAGGCAGGCATCTAGGTTTGAGTATCTTTTACCTGGTTGGTTTGAATTGTTAGCCCAAGCTATCACAAATTCTTGTTCTTCCCAATTCAACACAGGGAATCTCCTGCCTTTATTTGGGGCTGGAGCAATAGCAGAGCGGTAGGGCGTTTGCCTTGCGTGCAGCCAGCCCGGCTGAGCCGGGTTCAATTCTTCCGCCCCTCCCGGAGAGCCTGGCAAGCTACCGAAAGTATTCAATATGCCAAACGCAGTAACAAGAAGTCTCACAATGGAGACTTACTGGGCCCGCTCGAGCAAATCGATGAACAACGGGAGGGCAGTGTGTGTTTATTTGGGGAGCAAGGAGGAGGCAGTGGCAGGGACTGACCCCAGGGCCTTGCGTTTGGGGGTGGCGGCATTCTCTCTCTGAACTGCATTTCCAGTATCCCCATCCCTTACTCCGGTTCCAAGGGGCACACCAAGTTCCCTGGAGTACATGCAGAGTGGGGATCCAGCCCAGGGCCTTACCGATGCAGACTTTGCTAAATCCCCTAGTGATTATAATCTGGCAGGTGGCAACCATTTTAAGATTTTATTTGCCAATTCTGTTCACCTTTTATGTGGGTACAAACAAGCCATTTCATGAGCTGGGGTTTGGTGTTTGGAAAGTATGAAAGTGGGCATCCTATGGCGAGTAACCAGTGCAGTCCCTGCTCCAAGTGCTCCCCACTCTGCTCTTTAAAGCATCCCCCAAACTCCTCTCACACATCCCCATTCAGCTTACTAAACCCCACTCTCTCCCACTCCTTCCTTAAATCCTATAGGGTGGGGGATAGGAGGTGGTGGGTGGAACCAACCTTGTTAATGCTATTCTTTAAAATATTATTTTTGTTTTTTTGGTGCCAGGGAACACGCGAAAGTGCTCTACCACTGCATTCCATTCTGGCCCCACGCATCCTGAAAACGGGCAGTGCATGCTACCCCCGCCCCAGCCAGGTAGTCCGAATGCTGGAGTTAGAACGATGAAGGCAGCTTTCAGCTGGGACCCACTTCCAGAGTGTCACAGGCTCATTAATTGCCCTGGGAAAGCACTGTCCATACCAGCTTAGAATGATTCATAAATTCAAACGAGAGCGCATCATGGGCCCAGGTTCTTAAGTTCTAAGAGAAAACGGAATGGCTTCAGGTTCACTTAAACAAAACAGCGAAACTTTAATTGGGTCAGAATCACACTGTCAGGGAGAGGTGGGCTGTACACTCATCTTTATAGCACCAATTCCTGCGCGGGGGTTCCACCATCGACGGATTCAAGCATCCAGCTATACCGACTTGTTCTAGAGCTATCTGTCCCAAACGTGGTTGGTCACGCCAACATCAAGTGGAAGGGCATAGATTTCTGTGCCCCTTCTACCACTCCCACATCCCAGGAGGGCCTCAGAGCCAGCAGGTAACTTCCCCACCACCACCCTCCCCGCGCCACTCCCATCAAACTGAAAACTTTGGGGTGCCTTTACAGCTCCTCCTTCTCGGCCCCCTTCTTCTGAAAGGCAGTCAGGATGTTTAGGCTCTTCTGGAGCTCTTCCTTCTTGCCGTCGCTCATCTTGTTCTTCTCAATTAACTTGGTGATCCGGGTCATCTCTGACGCCGGGAAGTCCTCACCCTGGTTTAAGATCTTCCCCATGATCTTCAGGTACTGCTCGGCCCACTTCTTCTCAGACTCCTTCACGCTCGCAAGGGTGTCCTGCCCTTGCTTCAGGACGGTCTGGCGGGCCTCTTTGCTGGAGGCCTTGATGAACTCGCTGGCAAGGCCATCATACACAGGCAGGCACCCAGGCATGCCTATGTAGACCCCGTGGCCCTTTAGCCAGCGCTGGATGGCGCCAACCTTTACCGCCCCACTATACTGGACAGGGTTCTCAAAGTCCCCGTCCCGGAAGAGATAAAAGACTGGATAGTCCTCTTTGTCCAGCTTATATTTCTCACTCAGCTCCATATTCAGCTTGTCGCCATAATCTGTGAACAGAAACCAGATATGAGAAGCAAGACCACGAGGCAAGGAGGGCAGGTGATGGCTATGGGGCTTAAGTGACGGGGATGAGTAACAAGGGCTCCTCTGCTAACTCCTAGCCATGTGGCGTTACTCAGGCAGCCTCTCTGAACTTTTAGCTCCTCAGCAACGCTCAGGATACTCAATGCTACAAGCCCACTCTGTGCAGGGTCTGCTCTATGGGCTGGGAATCGACTTGACATTAAAAACACCAAGCTCTGGGGCTGGAGCGATAGTACAGCGGGTAGGGCGTTTGCCTTGCACACGGCTGACCCGGGTTCGATTCCCAGACATCATATGGTCCCCCAAGCACCACCAGGAGCAACTCCTGAGTGCAGAGCCAGGAGTAACCCCTGCGCATCACTGGGTGTGACCCAAAAAGAAAGAAAAATACCAAGCTCTCAACACTAGTTTTATCTAATAGTGAGAAGAAAGTAACAGATGGGCATCGATGGGTGGGCCATAATGAAAAGCCGAGTGATGTGACAGGGGTGGGGAGGGCAACCACTTTAAGTGGCCATGGAAGGCCTCAAAGAGAGCATGCATGGAGGGAGCTGAAGAGCCAACAGGCAGACATACGAAAATCTGGGAAGAGTGCAAGAAGGTGGAAAGATGGTCAAGTGCCAGAGCTCTGAGGCACAAAGCTGTGTGCTGCTTACGGAGAGACTAAGTAGGGAATAAACAGTCTGACAAAAACAAAGGCTACTGGGTGCCTCCACCAGGGGATGTGCCTTTAACCTAGTAGAGTAAGTACTTAATATATGGTACCATAAGTACTTAATGCATGGTACCCTGGGTCTGGGATGGCGCTCAATCGTACAGTGCTTCCCTTGCATGTGTGAGGTTCTGGGTTCCATCCCCGACGCCAGCAAAAAGAAATAAATACAGTGGTACAGTGTCTGCTACATCCTAGGTGATGATTGGTTTCCAATATACTGCAAAGAATGATACCAACTGGGGCTCTGATCCCAGTTCTGTCATGCTAAACTAGCATCTAGAGCATAAGCTACTAAGCATCTAATCCCTTGACTGAAAAACTGGTCACAGTACTGCTTTCAGAGCAGTCATAAGACAAACATTTGATAAACGTCAGATGTTATTATATTAGTAGTAGCAGGATAAAATTCCCCAAAGAACCGGCTCAATTGACAAAGTAGACCCACTGCTCTGGAGAAGCCAGCTCTCTCTACCAGCAGACTCATGTGCCCACTAGGGAACCAAGGCGTCCGAGACAGGGGAAGCAGGGAGCGGAAGGGAATGTTTTTGATGGAGTTCTTGAACAAACCACTAAAATGGAGGTAATGAGCCTCTTCTCAGACAGAATTTTGTGTTCAGGGATTACTCCTGGTGGTGCTTGAGGATAAAACCTGGGTCGGCCACAGGCCAAGCAAGAACCTTAATCCCTGTACTATCTCTCGGGTGTGGGATGTGAGGGCCATACCCAGGAGTGCACAGGGGCCACACCCAGGTGGTGCCCCTGGGATCAAAGCTGGGGCTCTCACATGCAAAACACACAGCAGCCCTTTGAGCTTATCTCTTCCGTCTGGCAATGATTCTTAAAGCTGCCACGGTGAAAGATTCCTGGTTCAGTGGCAGCTCTGATGGATGGAAGTCAAAAGCCAAAACCAAACTGGTACAAGAGAGCTAAAATGAGGCTGGAATGTGGTACCCTGTGGGAGGACTGGCACTGCACCCCACCAGAACCCCGTGAGAACCAAGCTCCTGACTGCAGTGTGAGGTGGTGGGCTTCCTCCCCACAGATACCTGAAACGCTGCTGAGCCGAGTTCTGTGGCCAGAGCCTCAATCTAAGCTTGCATGGGTCCTGGCTTCCTCGAGAGGGCAAACTTCATCTACACCTCTGTTGTTGTGGCCCAGACAAAGGCACTGGGTGGGACTTTACCCTACAAATGCAGAAATTCCTAGCTTCCTCCCTCTCTGCCCTCCCCAGCATCCTGGACTCGTTCATACCTGAGATCCCCACCTCTGCCACCAAGAGATCATCGCTGGAGGCCGAGTTTTCAGCCAGACGCTTGAACTCATCCTGCTTCTCACCGTAGGGGTACTGGGTGTCGAACTTCACCAAGACGAACTTGCTTTTGGGAATGACCTGAAGACGTATAGAGCTGAGCAAGTGGGGGGTTCCAAGGAAACTTTTGGAGAGGGGGGTTAATTCCCTTTCCCAAGGACCCCCTGTTTAATAAAGTAGAAACCAAGTCCACAAGCTCCAACATACTAATATTCATTCATCCTTCTAGTCGTCTCATCATCTGGAGGCACTTTTGACATGCTGGGGACCCCATCTGGAACATGAGCAAACTAATCAAAGGCCAACCCTACCAATACGAAACAGAACTAAAGGCTTGTTTCTTTTTTTGATTTCTAGGCCATACTTGGCAATGTTCAGGGGTTATTCTTAGCTCGGCACACAGGGATCACTCCTGGCGGTGCTCAGGGGACCATCTGGGGTGCCTGGATTCGAATGTGGGTTGGCTGTTTGCAAGGCAAGCTCCTGGCCCACTGGACTGCCCACTGGCTCAGTGCCAAGGCTTGTTTCTTCTGAAGCCCTAGGGCCTACTTCTCCTGTGTCTCCTCTGTTGAGACAAAGGAGATTCTTGGGTCATACCTGATCCTCGGGAGCCCTTCTCAGTGAATATGAAATCTGACAAAGACTAATCATGTAAACGAAGTTAACACGTCGAAGGGTACTAGCTAGGGAGTCCAGAGTTTGAACTCTGCAACTTTAGAGGGCATAGGAAGTTGCTGAGAAGGCAGGTATGGGGCATGATTCTCTCCCTGAAGTTCCTTGGTTCAATATTCAGGTCCTATACAATCAGGGGCAAGTTTTTAAAAGTGTTAAAATTCACAGCCCAAGTTCACCATATTTAAGTGCACAATTCACATTGGTTTAGTGTTAATGTTTTGTAACCTCCTGAAAAGGAACCCCTAATCCACTGAGCAATCGTTCCTGAGTCTTCCCTCCCCGCAGGCTCTGGCAACCACCGCTAATAAATCTGCTCCGTCTCCTCAAATGGAATCATACAATATGTAATCTTTTAAATCAGGTTTCTTTCACTATGTATGTTTTAAAGGTTCATTGAGACTGGAGCATGAAGCAGTACTTCACTCCTTTTTATGGTCAAATTCCACCTTAGGGATAGCCCATAGCTATCAGCACTGGCTGATGAACACCTGGGCTGTTCCTTTTGTAACCTTTTGGCTATACAAGTTTCACGACCACTTCCATTCATTTCCTTTGGGTATATATGCCTAGGAGAGAACCTACAAGAGCGTATATGTCATTTGGTGAGGAATCCAAGGATTTTCTTTGGATTACTCCCAATATACAGGTTTTTAAACTTAACAACTGACTTTAGTGGCTAATACATTTCTTTCTAAAACATTTTATCTTCTATCTTCTAATCGGTGTTCGCTGCTGGTCACTTTCGGATCAGAGGTAATCGCTGTCCGAAGTTAAGCTGACATAACTCTGTTAATCTTTTCACTATGTTGATATCCTTCTAATTTTGAGTTTTAAGCCAAAAAAATTAAACAGTGCCTAGGGACAAAAGGAAGATTATCAGAACAAGTAATCTTCAAGTGGTCACTGACCCCAAAAAGTTTGAGCCCTGGGAGGGGGCCTTTAAAAAGCAGGGAAGACTTAAAATATAAATCAGAGCATATCCCTGTGGTCCAGCTGGCCTTATTTCAGTCCAACACATCAAACCTGTTCCATTATGGGCCTTTTTCATTTCCTCTCTCTCTGCTCGCTTGAAAACCCTTCTTCCCATGGTTCTTTAAGCTTAGTCCAACGGTTCCTTCCTAAGGGAGAGGCCTCTTATACTCATGCCATCTAGGGCCATTTCATTTCCATGATTCCCTATTGCATTACCCTCTTTCCTCACCGCCTTCATCACTTAATTCATGACTGTGAGATTCTTATTTGCCCATTGCCGCCAGTCGTCCCCACTAGAATGGATTTAAGGTCTTTGGCCCTGTGTTCCTGTCTAAGCTAAGAGCCCAGGAGCACTGGGAATGTGGCAGATGTTCCATGCCTGGGTTGGGGGTGGGCTTTTGGGTCATCTTTTGTAGGGAGAGGGCGGCACTGGACTCCAAACCAGGGTATCTCAACTCAAATGCAAGGCAAGTGCTCTGCCACGCCTACTTCTGCGATTCCGATCTATCAGCAGAATGGCCTTAAGTGGCAAACAACTGCATGATGAATTGTTTCTTCTTCTTTTAGTAGTTTGTGCTGCTTTAGAAACCTCTTCCTTGAGGAACTGGTTTCCCCATCACCCACATTTACGAGATTTGCTTTCATTTTTTCCCTCCCTGGGCCAATCCTGGGGATACTGAGGGAACCATGTGATGCTGAACACTGAACCCACAAAGAGGTTCCTACATGCAGAGCGTGTATTCCAGTCCTTAAATTCTCCCCCTGCTCTGGGAACTTGCTTCTTCAGGGTCAGATGAATTCATTATTCATTCAGCCACTGAATTTAAAAAAATAAATAAGACACCGAGAGACCATTGCCCCTGCCCAGTACTGTTGTAAAGAAATGCAACACTTCAGAAAATAGGTTCTAGTTAGTGGGGAAAAGCAAGAAATAAACAACAAAATTACATTAGAATCTGTGGAAGGCAAAGAAGGGAGTAAGGGGGTGATATTTAAAAAGGAGCAGCAGGAGGCATTTGTTCCTTCCTTCATTCAACAAACTAAGTCCCTACATGAGAGAACCTGCTGCCTTCAGTGGTCAGTGAACAACATGGACAGGAAGTTCTTGTATTCGAGTGACGGAGAAGATCAAAAGGGGGAAAAAAAATCAGCCAAGAGTGCTGTCCAGAGAAAATGAGATGGGGAATGTGACTGCCACTTCACAGGGATGGAAGCATCAAGAGGTAGCAAGTAATTAGGTTTTTTTGCTCTCAAGCAGCAACTGTTTCTGAGGATGCAGGACTGAAAGCATCTGTGTATCTGTGTTTCCGGGAAGCACCTGGCATGCACTGTCAGGATGAAACCCTAACTCCAGTGTCTACAAGATATGCTACCTGAAGCCCAGTGTTGCCGCCCTGGCCCTGAAATACCGTTATCTTGCCAGTTAACAGTTTCCGTCAAGTCATAAACAGTCTTTCCGTTACCCGCTCCCAGCTCCATGGGCTGGGAGGCCACTTCGCCAATAATGGTGGAAAAGGTATCAGGTGCTGGACCAACCAGCCACATCTACACTTTAAAATTCTGGGAACTCTGTCTCAAGTGAGCCACAGGTGTCCCATCCACAGAAGCTGTTTCAAAGAGGAAGAGTTCCCCGTCTTGAGATTAGATTTAGAGCTCCACTTCTTGGTTTCACTTCCAGCAGTGGGTACAGAAAGAAAAAAATTATAAACAGATGGGTTCAGCCAGGTTCTGGAACATTCTATGACTGAAACACAATCACCAACAACTTTGTAACTTGTGTATCTCGCTGTGATTCAATTAAAACATTAAAAAAAATTAAAAAAAAAAAACACCAAGATCGGTTCCCTCAACTGGCCTGCCCATCTCCTAGGTGATGCTAAAAGCGGCCAGCGGGGAAGTCAGCAGCCAAGGGAGGGAGCCCGGGCTGCATTCGGCCATCAAACATTTCCAACATTTATGAATCCAGGCCAGGCCCCCTCTCCCATCCCCCCAACTCTGTCAACAGAAAGTGGGGGAATAGGGGCGAGTCCTCCCGTGGTCTTGCTCTGATTCGAGCAGGTCTGGACCCAGGATGCCCGAGTCAGGCTTATTCTTCACGCCCGCACTATCCCCTGAGGAGGCTGAGCAGGGTGGCGGGTGGCCGTTGGCAGGCGCCAAGCGGGCATCGATTGAGCCCGCGGGAAGCCAGGGGGAGGTGGGGGAGCGACACGACGCCGCCCCCCGGGTCTCCCACCTGGGGCTCAAGGGTCGGGGCTCGCGGGGCAGCGGCCTATCTCTGGCCCCAAGGGAGTGACGCGGGCGGCATCGGACCCCTCGGCTGTCCTCCCGTCAGTCCTCAGTGTGGGGAAGCCGGTAAAAAAAAAAAAAAACGCTGCCAAGGCAACGGGGGCGAGAGGAGGCTGGAGCGCGATGCCCCGCGGGCCGTTGCCGCCCCGGGCCCGGCCGCCTCAAGGCCTAGAACGGGTGGCGGGAAGCGCCAGGAACCGTCGTCACGGGCGCTTCCTCAGGCCCCCGGAGCCCCCGCGGGTGCGCGTCTCTGGGGCTGCCCCGGAACCCAACGTCTCCGTGCCCCGTTACCTTGTAGAAAGTGACTGTATCCAGGGGAAGGGCGCCCTTGGTGTGCAGGCCGCTGCCGCCGGGCGGAGCCGAGAGCAGCAGGAGCACCAGAAGCGGAACCAGAGCGGCTGGAGAGGCGACGCGAGGCATGGCGGCGGCCGTAACGCCGGGCTCGGCGAGCGCGAAGCGGGCAGCCTGTGGCGGAGTCAGCGCCGGCCGCGCGTCACGTGACGACGAGCGCCGGCTCGGGCGTGCGCACGTGGAGAGCCCGGAAGCTCACGCCCGCCGAGGAGCAGAGGGCGGTGCCCCCGGAGGAGGGAGGTGGAGCTAAGTGGGCCGCGCCTGCGCACTGGGCTCCCGCCAGCACGCCCGGGGCGAGGGGCGGGGCCTTGGGGCAGGGGCGGGGCCGAGACGGGCAGGGGGCGGGGTAGGGCGCGAGACCGGCTTCGCCTGTGAGGGGCCGCGGCGGCCGTGCGCGCGCAGCCTTCCGCGGTCTTCGACGACGGGGCGGCCGGCCGGCGTCGTTGCGGGCCGCGCGTCGGCCTGGCGGCGTGTGCCGTCCGCTCCGGCCCTCGCTCTGTCAGGGGCGCCACGACGTCAGCCCTGTGGCGCGAGGCGACGCGGGCCCAGGCTGGCGTTCGGGCTGCTTCTGTGGGAGACAGGTTTTCTGGAAGCAGGACCCCGGCCCAGCCGCGTTGGACGCCCCCAGAGTGAAAACAAAGGGGAGAGACCACAGGCCACACGCCGCCGCGGTGGGGGCGTCGTCGGGCCCGCAACCCTCTTCGCCCCCGGCCGGGTTGTGGAGAAGTGCGACATCGGGGGGGAGGGGCTCTCTCTGGGCTCGCAACCCCTCGGTTCCGAAGCCCCGGGGTGGAAGAGGCGAGTTGGGGATCCCCGTGCTTTATGAGGACCGAATTCATGAAGACTTGAGCCGAGGGGCTGAAGTGATAGTCCAGCAGGGAAGACTTTGCCTCACACGCGGCTGACGCGGATTCAGCCCCCGGCATCCCGTAGGGTCCCCAGAGCACCGCCAGTAGGAACCCCTGAGCATCCCCAGGTGAATGAAATGAGTCCTATATTAAAATTTCTTGACCCGAAAAAAAAAAGGCGGCATGGGAATATTCTGTTTTCAAAGATTCTTGAAGGAGAAGGTGCTGAAATTTGAGACGGTAAAGGGCTCATTTAGAGACAAAAATGGGGGCTGGAGGGTTGGCTCAACAGGTTAGAGAGCGAGTCTGAGTGCAGGTCTCTTGGGTTCTACCCCTGGCACCACATGGTCCCAGGAGCACCTCCAGGAACAATCCCTGAGCACAGAACTAGGAGTAGATCCCCTGAGCACTGGTAGATGTGGCCCCCAAAACGGAGGGCAGAGACAGAGAGAGATGGAAAAAGTAAAGTGCCAAATATTGGTCAAGAGTAACACTGATTTTGTTTGCCTGTTCTCTGAACAGTTTGATCTTTGTTCTTGACTGAGACAAGGGGCCTTTGTCCAGAAGCATTCTCTTATCACTTGGTGAAGTTCTCCTCAGTCCCCTCATCCTTATTTGATAGATATATGAGTAGCACCGTAGCACTGCCCTCCCGTTGTTCATCGATTTGCTCAAGTGGGCCAAGTAACGTCTCCATTGTGAGACTTGTGTTTGGCATATCGAATACACCTCAGGGAGCTTGCCAGGCTTTGCCATGCGGGCGAGATACTCTTGGTAGCTTGCTGGGCTCTCCAGAGATGCGGAGGAATCGAACCTGGCTCGACCAGGCTGGCAAACACCCTACCACTGTGCTATCGCTCCATAAAACACAGTCACTTCCTATTCATCGATTTGCTCAAGCGGGCCCAGTAATGTCTCCATCGTGAGACTTCTTGTTACTGTGTTTGGCATATTGAATATGTCACGAGTAGCTTGCCAGGCTTTGCCGTGCTGGCGAGATACTCTCGGTAGCTTGCCGGGCTCTCCAAGAGGGGGCGGAGGAATCGAACCCAGCTCAGCCAGGCCGGCTGCGCGCAAGGCAAACGCCCTACCGCTGTGCTATCGCTCCATAAAATATTCTAAGATCTAAGTGGTAGGAATTTCTGATCTACCACTTTTGTGATATTTTATTTATCTCAGAATTTTAGCAAAGTGACTATATCCTACCTCTAACGTTCAGTCTTCTATTTCAGACTACTGTGAGTGAGTCATTAAAATTTCTTGACATGGCTGACCCGGGTTCGATTCTTCTGCCCCCTCAGAGAGCCTGGAAAGCTACCGAGAGTATTCCGTCCACATGCCAACCCTGGCAAGCTACCCGTGAGGTATTTGATATGCCAAAAACAGTAACAACGACTCTCACAATGGAGACGTTACTGGTGCCCGCTCGATGATGAACAATAGGAGGACAGTGACAGAGACAGTGATATGCAAATATATGATCTTAACAAAAGATATAGGCTGTATTAAATTTTTTTTGGCTTTTTGGGTCACACCCAGCGATGCTCAGGGGTTACTCCTGGCTCTACACTCAGGAATTACTCCTGGCAGTGCTCCGGGGACCATATAGGATGCCCAGGATCAAACCCAGGTCAGCAGTGTGCAGGGCAAACGCCCTACCCTCTGTACTATCACTCCGGCCCCTGTATTAAAAATTTGATTAGGTTGAAAGTTTAGTTACTTAAACTTTACTTAAATAAAATGTTCTTTCTGCTTTCTCTTTTCCTCAGTTGTCCAAATTTAACCGGTTATTTTGTGAAACTACCAGTAACTGCATTATTTTTATGGGTAGATAATTTGAGATTTTGATATTAAGATCATTTTTCTGGGGCTAGAGAGAGTACAATGCATAAGGTACCTGCCTTGCCATGTAGCCAATATGGGTTTAATGCCTAGCAATGTATATGATCCCCTAAACACCAGCAGGTGTGATTCCTAACTCCGGAGTCTGGAGTAAGCCCTGAATAGAACTGGGCATAACCTCAAGGCAAAAAGATAAATTAAAAAATTGGCTCTGTATCTAACTTTTTTATGTTTTTCATAACATGATGCTTTAAATTAATTTACATGTAAACAGAAATACAATAAATCAAATACGTAATGAAATACTGTTTTTCTTGTAGGTTTTTGTTTTTGTACAGAACATTTAGGGTGTTTTATAAAAGTATCAATAAAATCAGATACATTATACCTCTTCCTTTTTTTATTACGAAAAATTTATTGTGAATATGAAAACTCCAATTATATAATTCTGTCCCTAAACAAAATAAGTTTAAAGTAGATTTTTCTTTACTCCATTTTTCTATTTTTTCTGTTCCATTTCTCTCATGCAACTCTATCTTTTCACTGTGTCTCAATCTCTCTATTATTCCTTCCTCTTGCCACTTCTTGCACTGCCCAGTGATTTTTTAGAACTTAGTTTTCATATCACCTGCTTTTTTTTCCCACTCCCCTTTCTGCTTTCTTTTCTTCTCACTTGTCACCACCTTCTTTCCTTACCCTCAAGGTACGGGCAGGATCCAGGAGGGAGGTGCCCAACTGGGAAGGGGTGGAGCTACCTGTTCATAGCTTGGAATTTCAGAGTCTGAAGAAGCAGTACGCTGCTTAAGTTTTGCTGGGACTGAACTTCCCCTATGGCCCTCCTACAGGAGGTTAGCATTTTGGAAAACAACTGGGACTTGGTAAGATTAGAAACTGGCCCTCTCTTCTTTTTTGCTTTTCCTTTCTTTCTCCATGTTCTGTATTTTTGGGACTTGTTTTGGGGCCATAACTGGTCGTGCTATGGTGCTGGCTGAGGCTTCTTGTAGTGCACAGAGGCCCATGTGGTGCCAGGGATCAGTCTATATCTTTCACTCACATTATCTCTCTCTGGCCTGTTAGTTTTCCTTCCTTCAATTTCTCTATTGCTCTATTGCCTGATAAATTTTTTTTACTAGCTTCCTATCAGTCAACTGTATTGTTTGCTTTTCCTGTTAACCTGTTCTTTCCACACATCTGCCTATTCTCTCAACACTTAATCTTTTCTATTTCTTTTCCTTTTATTCTCATTTTTAATTTTATCACCCATTTCTCATTTTTCAATTATCTACCCTCTGTTTCTTTTTTAGTCAAATAGTTTATCCAAAGATATAGTGATTAGAAAGAAAAAGGAACAACCCTTCTTTGACTGGGGCCTACTCAACCTCTACAGTTACACATTCTCAGTCTTGTAGTATGTTTTGATTATGAATTTGATTGAGAATAATTTATTTCAAAGGTAGTTAATAATGAAATGGTATTAAGGCTGAGTAATAAATATTAATTCTATTCTCTTGTTTTATTTAGTTTTTTCCTGCCATAGAGTGGATACAGTTTGTTATGTCTACTCTCAGGTAAGCTAATTAAATTTCATGTAAAATGACCATTTAAACTAATGAATAAAACTCAATAATTCAGAAATTTTCTATATTCTCTCCAACCTCCAGAGATTTGCTTTTAGTCTTTAGTTAGAGACAAATGCTATTCTTTACATGTTAATATTTTTGGATTAATAAAATGTAACAACATTGAAAATAATAATTAAAAAAACAGATAAAGTTAACTTTTGTAAAGACAATTTATTTGCAAATCAATAGAAAAGTGTTTATTTTAATAGCATGTACACCAAAAATGGGAGCAATATAGAGAGCATTAGTAGAGCCTCTATATAAGGATAATACAAAAATTCATGAAATACTCCAAATTTTAAAAAAATATATACAACTTATGTATACCAATTATATGTCAGTAAAGCTATAACAAAAATAAGAATAAGTATAATAAATGAAGGAACCCATATTGTCCTGTTTCAGTAATTATCTTTTCATCTTTTGTCAGTATTATAGGTTCAAGCTCACTTATTGCTTATACTATAATCCAGAATATACAGAAGTCTCTAGAGGTGAGCTAACTCTTTTGTGTTGGATTTAAACTTTTTAAAATTAATTTAAAATTTTATTTTATTAGACCATACCCTTTGGGTCTTGGGAATCACTCCCGGTGATGCCCAGTTGTGGTGCAGGGGAATAGACCCAGGCTTTCTGCATGCAAAGCCTGCAGCCTGAATTATCTCCCAGGCCACATATTTTAGTGACTTAGCCTTTAAAACAAATAACAGAAGTGTCAATATAAATGACGGAGTAATACTATAAGGTACCTCTAAATTCAACATTGTATACACTAAAATAGCCTTAATCCCTATCAATAGGTGTCTCCTTTGGGGGCCTTCCTAGTCATGTTGAGGGTTCACAGGGATGGCTATATTCAGCAGTGCTTGGGAGGCCACTGGTACTAGGGATTAAACCCAAGGTCTTACTCATGTCAGACTTGCTCATGCCACCCTTTGAGCTATTTCCTTGGTTCTGGTTTCCATTTGATTTATTTGAGCTGTGACTTTGAATCCTGAGAGATTGACTAACCATGGGTTTGAGGATATACATTTATTATCAAGGTTAAGGAAATCAAGAGACTTAGCTATACAAAGGATAATAGTTTTGCACAGCCCTTCTAGATAATCAAAATTGATGGTGAAAACAGAGGAAATCCTATATAAAATTATTCATATAAAATATAGTAAAAAAATCTTCCAATTCATAGAGCAGTTGGAAAGTGATAGACTTTCTAACCTAGTAAATATGTTAAGAAAAATCTTAACTGATGTTTCCCAGGTCAAATGGCATAAAATTGATAAAATGTAGCTCAGAACATGTATAAGAAAGATTTACTATATGGAAAAATATTATTGGTTTTTGGGGGATTCATGGGGACTCTATGGGATGCCAGGGATCGACTGAATCCACATTGACCATGTCAAAGGCAAGCACCCTACCCGCTGTATGGTTGCTCCAGCCCATAAAAGTCCATCTATTACTATACCCTCCTCCAGCGTAAACCCAATTGTCGATTTTTTTTTTTTTGGTTACACCTGGCGATGCACAAGGGTTACTCCTGGCTCATGCACTTACGAATTATTTCTGGTGGTGCTTGGGGGACCATATGGAACGCTGGGAATCGAACCCAGGTCGGCCACTTGCAAGGCAAATGCCCTACCTGTTGTGCTATCACTCCAGCCCCAACTTAAATATCCTTTATAGTCTAGAATGTTTATTATTTTGAATACACCAGTATTGTATATAATATTATAGATGAGGAAGTGGAATCCTATTAAATTTGATGGATAAGTCTCTCCCCAAATATGCTTAAACAATCCTTTAGGGGCTGGAGAGAGTACAGTAGGTAAGGCATTTGCCTTGTACACAGCCCACCTGGGTTCAGTCCCCGGCATCACACATAGTCCCCTAAATCCCGCCAGAAGTAATCCCTAAGTGCAGAGACAAGACTAACCCCTGATCATTGTCAGTTGTATTCTAAAAACAAATCAAAAAAATTCTTTTAAGGCAAGAATGCTTGTGCTCTCTCTCAGACACGTACTTCCCCCCTTTTCTCCCCTCTTATTAAGTTTCAGTAAAAACTTTTTTGCAAGGGGTATGGTGCCGCCAGCAGATCAATCTGTACCTGTGAGGTGAGTGCATCAGCAGCCTGATGGCACCGTCAGACATTCAGATACCCCAAAATTGCTGCTGTGCAGACCCCAAAAACTTGGGGCAAAGTTTACCAAGAAAGTAAATGGCCAAAATTTAGGTATGTGGGAGACACTCCCACAAACCACCTCAGACTCAGCTATATAATTGGAGGCATGGCCTCTTTGGTTCCTGATCAAACTACTTAATGGCCATGATCCCAGAGACTCAGAAACGAATCTCGGAATCCAAAGGCTTTTGGCAGAAATGCGTCCTGTTCCTGCAGTAGGTTACAGGCGCTGGGCTACTCCAGGTGGGAATAGGTTTCGTGCCTTGGCCTATTCCTCCTGGTGGCCTGGTGACTGCCATCCTCCAGAGGCCACAGGACAGTCAGGTTTGGGCCTGCAGTGACGAGGACACGCAGGGCCTCACCAGATGGTGGTGGAACCGGCCCTTTCCTCCCCATCCTAATGAGACCCTGAGTCGCTGCCTACAAACAGCCTCTCTGGCTCCTGATCAAGCAGATTAACGGCCATGATCCCAGAGACTCAGAAACAAATCTTGAAACCCAGCGGCTTTTGGCAGAAATGCATCTGGACCGCATACAAGGTGGCCGCTGCCTCAGAGCTTATTGAAAAGCCAGGTATGAGCCAGCAGTTACGGGGCAACTGCAGTCTCATGGGAAGGGAGGCGGTACCGGTTCGTCCTTCACACCCTACAGAGGTCACGAGCAGCTCTCTGGCATGGCCATGGCTCCAGAGGCAAAAGGACTTAGTCCAGAGCCTGGTAGCTGTGGCAGAAAAGTGAATGGACCATGCGTTAAACTACAGCGCCATGCCTCCCCGGGAGAGAAAGGGTGTTGCTCCTTTCCGCCTCCTCCCCCCCTTCCCCCCCCCCCCCCCCCCCCCCCGCAGCAAGGTGGCCACCGCCTCAGAGCTTATAAGAAAACCAGGTATGAGCTGGCAGTGACGGGGAAACTGCAGTCTCATGGGAAGGGGGGTGGTACCGGCTTGTCCTTCACGCCCTACCGAGGTCACGAGTTGCCCCCCACGAGTGGCTCTCCGGCATGGTCATGGCTCCAGAGGCAGAAGGACTTAATCCAGAGCTTTTTCTTCTCCTTAATCCTACTTTTTCTTCTCCTCTTTCTCTTCCTTCTCCTTCCTGGTGGTGCCAGGGATCAAATCCACATTGGCTGTGTGCAAAGCAAGTGCCTTTCCTACTGTTTTATCTCTACAGCCTGTCTTTGTGCATTTAGAAATCTTGTCTGTTGCCAAATTTTATTTTTTTTGAAGATTTTATTTAATATTTTTCTGTTTGGGGACCACACCTGGTGTGCTCAGGACTTACTCTTGGCTCTGTGCTAAGGATCACTCCTGGCTGGGCTCAGGGGACCATGTGGAGTCTCAGGGATTGAACCCAGGTGAGTCATGTACAAGGCAAGTGCCCTCCCTACTATACCATTGCTCTGGCTCCTGCCAAATTTTGAGTCTCCCACATTCATTATAGTATAAGCTCGGATCTAAAGAAAAATCTAGTCAAAAGTTACCTGACTGGCTAGCAGTGGTCATGTTAGTATGCTCTAAATGAAGTTGAATCAAGAAGGGGGTGGTGATTTGTCCAATTTGATATCTCTTACTGGCAAAGTTATTCTTTATCTTTTTATCATGGTTATAAAAATCACTGTCACTGTCACTGTCCTCCCCTTGTTCATTGATTTGCTCGAGCGGGCCCAGTAACGTCTCCATTGGAGACTTTGTTGTTACTGTGTTTGGCATATCGAATACATCACGGGTAGCTTGTCAGGCTCTGCTTTGCAGGCGAGATACTCTCAGTAGCTTGCTGGGCTCTCCAAGAGGGGCAGAGGAATCGAACTCGGGTCAGCCATGTTGGCTGTGTGCAAGGCAAACACCCTACCGCTGTGCTATCGCTCCATAATAGCATTTATAAAGTATTTGTGTAGCACTGTAGCACTGTCCTCCTGTTGTTCATCGATTTGCTCAAGTGGGCACCAGTAACATCTCCATTGTGAGACTTGTTACTGTTTTTGGCATGTCGAATATGCCATGGGGAGCTTGTATTTGTGTATCATCTTAATTTTTTTCTTTTTGGGTCGCACCCAGTGATGCACAGGGGTTACTCCTGGCTCATGTACTCAGGAATTACTCCTGGCGGTGCTCAGGGGACCATATGGGATGCTGGGAATCGAACCCAGGTCAGCCGTGTGTAAGGCAAATGCCCTACCTGCTGTGCTATTGCTCTAGCCCCTCATCTTAAATTTTTGTATGTATTTAATCATTGTGATCTTTCAGATGGAATTACTGTATTATAATTAAATTGTATTAATTTAGTTTGGAGGCACACCCAGTGATATTCAGAGGATGCTCCCAACTCTCTATCCTGTGGTATTCAGGGGACCATATTATGCCAGGAATAAATCTGGGGTTGATGGATCAGAGAGATAGTACAGAAGGTAAGGTGGTCTTAGCCCAAGAACCTCATATATTTCTCCAAGCTTTCCAGGAGTGAATCCTGAGTGCAGTACCAGTAGTAAACCCGGAGCATCCCTGGGGTGATCCAAAACCAAAATGAAACAAACCAAGCAAACAAACAAAAACTGGGGTCAACTGCATGCAAGGCAAGAATCTTAACTCCTATACTGTGTCTCTGATTCATTACTGTATTTTCATAGCTGAGAAACTCAAGATTTCTTTGTTTATAATATAAATATACTCCTTAGTCCAGTTAATATTTGAATTTTTTAATTTAAAATTGGTTTTTTAGGACCAGAAAGATAGTACAGAGGGACGGTGCTTTCTTTGCATATGACTGACTCAGGCTGGATCCTTAGCACCACACAGAGTTCCCAGAGAACCAGCAGAAGTGATCCCTGGAAAAAGAGTCAGGAGTAAGCTTTGTGCACCACTGTTTGTGGCATGAAACCTAAAATAAATAGAAAAAGCATATAATTTTATCTGCTAGGACTCAGTAATTTACATTATTTCATATTTCCCAGAGTCATTCAGTGGTAAAATCTCTATACCAAATCATGTCAAGTTTTCTACTAGAAAAGTAAAATGTAAAAATTGACTGTTACATTCTCCTACATATATCATTTATGAAATGAGATTTTTTGTTACTTTGACAGATGAGGTCACTCTTTTATTTGAGCTTCTCAGACCTCCTCCTGGGAATATACAGACTTATTGAGGCGCTTCTCTATGGAAGCTCGGCAGCCAATAAAGACATTGTCTGCTATAACCTGCAAGCAGTCGGACAGGTGAGTACTGTTGATTATGACTATACCTTACACCAAAGACACAACTTAGATCTGAATAGAAAGCAAAGATGATTCATTATGACATGTAGAACCTTTTTATTTTTGCCATATTTTGAAAAAAAGGCTTTATTTCTTCATAAAGTATTATTAATAAGTTGACTATATTAATAAAATGGCTAGAGTAATAAAATGGTTATATTAATTTTAAAAGTGCTGACTTTCAGACTAGGTATATGAAGAAATTCCCTTGGAGATAGTGGTAAGAGTCAGTAGCACTGCACTGTGCACTGTCCTCCCATTGTTCATTGATTTGCTCGAGCGGACACCAGTAACGTCTCCATTGTGAGACTTGTTACTGTTTTTGGCATATTGAATACGCCACGGGTAGCTTGCCAGGCTGTGCCGTGCAGGCAGGATACTCTCAGTAGTTTTCCAGGCTCTCCAAGAGGGACTGAGAAATGGAACCCGGGTTGGCCGTGTGCAAGGCAAATGCCCTACCCGCTGTGCTATCACTCCAGCCCAAGAATCAGTATTATATTTATTTATTTATTTATTTATTTATTTATTATTTTTGCTTTTTGGGTCACACCCGGTGATGCACAGGGGACACTCCTGGCTCTGCACTCAGGAATTACTCCTGATGGTACTCAGGGGACCATATGGGATGCTGGGAATCGAACCGGGGTTGGCCGGGTGGAAGGCAAACACCCTCCCCGCTATGCTATCACTCCAGTCCCTTATTTATTTATTTTGACTTTTTGGGTCACACGACACAATAGTCAGGGGTTTCTCCTGGCTCTGCACTCAGGAATTACTGTTGGCAGTGCTCAGGAGACCCCATGGGATGCTGGGAATTGAACCCCAGGTCAGCTGCATGCGAGGCAAATGCACTACCTGCTATACTGTCACTCTGGCCCCAAGAATTAGTATTTTAAATAGCATATAATCTTTTCTGGTTATTTATTTATTTATTCTTTTTGGCTTTTTGGGTCACAGCCACACTGCTCAGGGGTTACTCCCAGCTCCACACTCAGTAATTACTCCTGGTGGTGGTTGGGGGACCATATGGAATGCTGGGGATCAAACCGGGGTCTGCTGTATGCAAGGCAAACACCGTCCCTGATGGACTATTACTCTGATGCCTTTTTTCTGGGTTTTACCAGATAGCTGTAGAGAGGCCAAAGACAAGGACAAGAGCAGTGTCTCTGTCCTGATTTCTCTAAGAGCTCCTCCAGCTTCAAGAGAGCCATTTCCTGGTGCACGTGTGTGGTAAATTGTGTTGAGTTTTTCAGGGCCATGGTGAGTTAGTGTAGACAGCAGTGACAAGCCTGCCAGTTCTTGAAAGATAGGGGGAAGTACAAAAATGGCCCCCACCAGGCTCCAGCTTTAGTAAGGTGGATTGAAAGTGCAAAAAGGAAATGGTTTCTTATAGTGTCTGGAGAAAGTTTCAACAGGCCTTTGCCTCTACAGATGATTTAATATTGGCTAATAAGTCTTTTTAATATATGAGTTTATATATACCCTTCAGATATCTGGGTTTATGTTGAGTCTCAGGATAAATGAGTCTGTACTTGCCCTTGTGTACCACTGTTTGTGGCATGAAACCTAAAATAAATAGAAAAAGCATATACTTTTATCTTCTAGGACTCAGTAATTTACATTATTTCATATTTCCTAGAGTCATTCAGTGGTAAAATCTCTATACCAAATCATGTCAAGTTTTCTACTAGAAAAGTAAAATGTAAAAATTGACTGTTACATTCTCCTACATATATCATTTATGAAATGAGATTTTTTGTTACTTTGACAGATGAGGTCACTCTTTTATTTGAGCTTCTCAGACCTCCTCCTGGGAATATTTCCATTCCCTACCACATTTTGTATCTCCTGCTAAGAAGTCCCGCTGGTTTTCAAAGCTATACATATTTTGGTGGAGGGACGATTAGGGCGGAGGTCGGGGGCTGGTACTAAAACTTAACCTGTCACTGTAGCGACTCTTCGGTAAGATTTTGTTAAGTGCAGAATTTGAGGGTGATAATGTCAGTGTAGTGGTAGAATGTGGAGAAAACAAAAGAAAAGACTGATCTCCATCTCCCTATCCTGCTGGGTGAGATTCTGTGGCTGACCTTGGGAGTTAGCCTGGTCCCCTCGCCCACCACCACCTCCCCAGTGAGAATGTAAACTTTAGAGGAAGTCCCAAGAGATAATGGAAACAAATCAAGAGAGAGGAGAGCGACATTATTTTATTCCACAATATTTTATTTTGTTTTGGGCTTCATCTGGCAGTGCTGGTTCTGTACTCAGGAATTACTCCTGGTGGACTCGGGGACCATATGGGTTGCTGGGGATCAAACCCAAGTTGACCACATGCAAGGCAAATGCCCTACCCGCTGTACTATCACTCCAGCCCCAAGAGGGACATTCTCACTATCTTTTGTGCCCAGTGCACCATCCTTATGCCAGTAATCTCTCAGGTTTACCTTTGTTCTGTCTGGGTCTCTTTGGACAAGTGACAAGCCCTTGTGCACCAGGACCAATCTAACTTGCTTTACTCGTTCAACTTGTCTAACTGGTTTCACTAGCTCAGCTAGTCCTGCTTGCCTGCTTTATAAAATTATGCTGCATTAAGTCTATCTTGACCACATAGGTCATCGAAGCCCTAGCTGACCCTGTGAGTACTTTTTTTGCAATTGATTTACATATGTTCAAGTTCTCAATTTGCAATGTTATAGCTACAAACCCCTCACTCCTGACAGAAAGCCCTAGATGTATGAGATCCTTCTGACTGTGGTCTGATACTATGTTTCATGCTTCAAAGACTGTTTCTGTCTCAACAGAATCAAAGGCCTTCTTTAAAATCGATGAAAGTTAGATAGAGCAGCATCTTGAACTCTCTCGAAACCTCAATGAGCTTGGTCACCATATGGTTGATCATGCTGAATCCTTTTCGGAACCTGGAACCCAGAGACCCTGTCTCTCTGCATCTCCTACCATTTCAATGCCCTTTATGAAGGAGCTAGCTGTTCAGATCACTCTCAGCTCCTTTTCAGAATTGTTTCATAAGTAACTATATATTTGGTATGATTATGGGAGTTTTTTCCCCCCTCACATAAATTCCCATAAATTCTCGAGCTCATTTGCCAGAGTGGTTTGGCGTGAGCCTCAGGCAATCACAAGCTAATATCCAATCTCGAAAAGCTGTGCAGAGACGCAATAAAGGAAGACCTCAAAGAGAGAAGAGCAGCATGTTGGCTGATGTAGCAGAAGACGGGAAAAATATTTGCAACACTCACCTGTCCTTTGCCAACTACAAGACCAAGATGACTGCCCTCTGACGTCCTGATAGATCTAGCACATCTTCCAGAAGGGCAGTGGAGAAGATTATCCATGACTTCTACTCAGATCTCTTCAATAGCCACGTCCATCTGCCCACATACCAAATTCCGCAGGATGGATATGTTGTTCCCAGTGTTCTCCCTTCCGAAATCTGACATGCCATTTCATCGGTAAAGAAGCGTACAGCACCCGGTCCAGACAAGGTCAGACCCAAACACCTGAAGAATCTGCTGCCATATTCATCAATACACTGGCTCAACTCTTCACATTCTACCTATCTGAATGCAAGGTTCTGTCCCAGTGGAAAACCAGCAAGACCGTTCTGTTGTACAAGAAGGGAGACACCCACAACATTGGCAGCTATCGCCTGATCTGGCTGTTGAATGTAGACTACAAGTTGTTCACTCTAGTCATCCTGAATAGAATAGGCAGAACACTAGACAAAGAACAACCATGCAAGCAATCCGCGTTCCAAAAAGGATTCAGCACGATCAACCATATCCACATGGTGACCAAGTTCATTGAGGTTTCAAGAGAGTTTAAGATGCTGCTCTATCTAACGTTCATCGATTTTAAAGAAGGCCTTCGATTCTGTTGAGACAGAAGTGGTCATCGAAGCCCTAGCGAAACAGGGCGTTCAAATGCAGTACATCAGGATCCTCTGTGAACTGTATCATGGATTCACCACCAGGATCTCACCATTCTACATTGCTACATTCTACATCGAAGTGATCATTGACGTAAAGAGAGGGGTTCAGCAGGGTGATATCATTTCACCGAAATTCTTCAGTGCCACCCTCGAGAACATCATGCCATGACTGGAATGGGAAGAAATGGGAGTGAAGATAAGACGGTTGACAACTACACCACCTTTGCTTCGCTGATGACATTGTTCTAATAACACCAAACATTAGCCAAGCGGCACAAATGCTGGCTGATTTCGACCATGAGTTTGGAAAGGTAGGATCTCATACATCTAGGGCTTTCCATCAGGAGTGAGGGGTTTGTAGCTATAACACTTCAAACTGAGAACTTGAGCAATGAAAATCAATTGCAAAGAAAGCACTCACAGGGCCAGCAGTAAGAGATAGACTTAATGCAGCATAATTTTATAAAGCAGGCAAGCAGGACTAGCTGATCTCACCAAGATAATGTTCATGAAAAATGAACTAGTCCCTGATGTTCTATTTGCTCTCAACGGAACGAACATCTCTGAATGCAGCAGCTACGTGGACCTGGGTCGAGAACTCAACATGATGAACAACCTGGCACCTGAGTTGTGCAGGAGGAAGAGAGAGGCATGGAATGCCTTCAAGAGCATCGAAGAATAGCTAAGAGGATGAAGAAACTCCAGCTCTGGGCACATCTCTTCGACTTCTCCATTCTTCCTGCATTAACATACGCCTCAGAGACCTGGGCCCTACAAAAACAGGATGAGAACACTATTTGGGTCTCCCAAAGAGGAATTGAAAGAGCTATGCTTAGAGGATCACACTTCACTCAAGTGAGAGAAGGAATCGGAGTTCTGACCTCCATCAATGATCGAGAATTAGGGATGCTGTCTTGTTTGCCAAGGAATTGACAATCAGATGGGTCGGACGCATAATGCGATTTAGAGATGACCATTGGACTAGAACTGTTACTGACTGGATTCCACAGACGTC